TGGGTCACTTTGCAGTAGTCTTGTGCAAGGCATGGCCTTGCACACTGAAGGATGTCACAGAGAATATCTCTGGTAAACCTGTGCCTTGCACTGGCTTTAAATATGAAAGATTTCTCAGATCTTCAGTTTGATTAAGTTAATCAACTGTGAGTCTATCCTTCTTTACAGAACAAATATATATCACATACTGGGAACGTGTCGTCATCCTTCATTATCAGAATGTGCAGAATATATACAACGGCACATACAAATCCCAAGTTAGCAGAAATGGTGCACTTGTGCAGTAATGCCAGTTGCGCTGGGCATGAGTCTGGTCCAGTACATTGAAGGCTATATTATGTTTTCATCTTACCTTCCATTCATAGCTACATCCCTTTATGTCTTTAAAGCAGTTTTTAATTTTCTTACTCTCTTATCTGTCCCAGATTTGCACCTGAAATCTGAATTCCTGTTTTGGTCAGTTACAAAGTAGCTACTGCAAATTTTTTAGGAGCTCTTTTATGCCTGATTTTATGACCTCACAGTTTCTCGCCAGGTACCTGTTGACAGCTCTTTCTCTTAGGAATCCTCCCCATTTTTCAGAAGAGGAAGAGACTATGCAGGCATTTCTTGTGCTTAAAATTAAATGGGGATAATTTTCAAGCTTTATGATACATTATATTTGAAGGAGCAAGATCATATGTTTTGAGATTTGAGTTTGGTCTTGGCATGTTTGCAATATACCAAGATAGTCCTATAGTTTTCAAGAAATCATTCTTCTACACCAAGCTTGTAGTGAAGAATTCTTTAGCAAGCCAGATATAAATTTCATATCAGATCTCACAGTTTTAATCGTTAAAGATTGTTTGGTGCAAGACAGTTATTACAGTGCAAGTGACCAGGACTAGCAAGACCTCAGAGATGAATGGTACTTAAAGAAACATGCTCCATGGTGGCCAAATTGGCTTCCTTATTTTTATTTATCTTTTATGTATTTATTTTAGTCAGTTATGTCTGTATTTTTCATCAGTATATTTTTATCTATATTATTATTATTATTATTATGTATAATAAATACATAAATATGTCACCTTATTTTTTATCGAGAAAGGAAAAAGGACACAAAAATAGTACAGTGAAATTGTATAACATCTACAGATTGTTATTACAAATTGCACTACGAATCTGAAGTTAATTATATGAACTTGATTTTCTGCCTCAAGCACAACTTCCATATGATATGTTTAAGCTGTGTAATTAGTGCTTTAGATAATAAATTGTTTTCAAACAGTATGTTTTGTTTGTTATTGCTAATGAAATTATTGTAATGCTGCGCTTAGCAACTATAGGAACTCTTTTATTTTACCATGTATTTTAAAAGCTATTTCCTGTTTGTACCAGATGTCACACTAATTGTTATCTCTAGACAGGGATGCCACTTTCACAGGGATGAAAAGCTTTTATAACAGTGTTATACATTAAATAGTGCAAACTCCTGTTATGCTCCAGTATAGCAATACTTTGAAGTCCACTTTTGTTGTCTTAGGAACTCCTTGTAACTATGCTTGTGAAACTGAAAACTTTGAAATTTTTAGAATAAATCTGATCTGGCAGTCAAATGCTACCTTCATTGCTACTTATCTCAGCTCTGAGAAGACCAGCTGAAGCTGGTCTTTGTTCTTGTAGGTGTGACTTTTTCACTTTTAATCGCATTCCGAGATATCTTTAAAGGTTGTATTCAATCTGGATACAAAAAAAAATCATTCTTGTAAAACTTCGAAGTTAGAGCAGATTTTTTTCTGGTAAAAATAAGCAAAATTTGGCCCA